TATGGCATAGATACTGGTGGATTCCACCTGCTCGAGCTCACTGGCAGGAAACTACTCCCATCACAGTCTAAAATGTAGTATTTCTGTATCTTAATCTCATTGCTTGTAGACTTTCCCCCACCACCCTGCATCCACTCTTTGAAACAAGAAAATATTTAATGTTTTGCTATTTCCTAAGGAAGGAGCCCTTCTGTCAGTAGCTTGAACCCAACAGCTGTTCTATGGGAGAAAGTTGTGGCAATCTGCCTCCATAAAACTTGCAACCTTGGAAACCCTATGGGGCCGTTCTACTCTGCCCTATAGGGTTACTGTGAGTCGGAATCAACTCAATGGCAATGGTTTATTTCCTAAGGCGTTAGAGGTGAATCAACTGTCATAGGCAACTCCGGAAGCAGTGCAGAGAGGGTCACGAGCCCAGGAACAAAGCTGCAATCGGGCCAAGCAGTACTTGTGTCTGAGACTGAAGCTACAGGGACTCACAACTCACAAATGACATTCTACCATCCACAGGATCCACTCACTCTCTACTGTGGATGGGAGATTGTGGCGCCTTTCCGAAAATCCTTAGAAAGCAGCTAGACTCAAATGCAGTCAATGATATAATATCAGTAAACTTGGGGATTGTAACAAATCATCAGTGTCTGCTGACATAAAAATGATGGTGCTAGAATGCTAAAGGAAAAAAGCCAGGTGATGGCTGTCTTCAAGGTGGAGAAAGGAGGGGGTATAAGGACTGGTCAGCATGTGGCCATTCTGACTAGCCAATAGGAATAGAACAGCTATTCCTATTTCTTGACAGAAATACCCCTTTCGTAGAGAAGGGTGACCTGGAGACTAATATAGGCTTTGAGAAAGTATCTGAGGCCATCCAACTCCACTGCTCAGATTCCTTGTTCATAAAGAAACCTGGTTTTAATTTGGTTCCTCACGGTGCGTTTCCTATAGAGAGAGAGCACGCTAGTTTGCTGACATCCATATCCGATTACCTTGTGGGGCACAAATCTCATTATGACTTAGTAAATTGGCACTCCAGGTTTTTTTTTTTTTTTTTAAGTCTCTTTTGAGTCTGGTTAGTGGGAATCAATTCACCAGGATCATCTGAGCAATATGAAAAATGAAAAACAAAAAAAAAGTTGCTGTTGAGTCAACTACAACTCATGGCAGCCCCATGTGTGTCAAAGTAGAACTGTGCTCCATAGTGTTTTCAATGGCTGATTTTTTGGAAGTAGATTGCCAGGCCTTTCTTCCATGGTGCCTCTGGGTGGACTTGAACTTCCAGCCTTTTGGTTAGCAGCTGAATGTGTTAACTGTTTGGACTACCTAGGACACAGCAATATGAATAGACAGATCTAATTTAGTTTCTAACCTTCTAAAGCCAAGGTCCAGACCCTGAGCCCACGGGGACCTGACCCAGGCAACGTGTCCTACCTGGCAAATGAATATAAAAACAAATCATTGCTGCTTGCTGGCAACACTAGTTACTCATTCTTACGAATGTTAGCACTTCTCATACTCATAGTAGTAACAGCCGTTACAATACCCCAGGCATGGTTATTTCACTGGCACACAATAATTACACTTCACTCTCTTCTACTGAAACTTAGTTTAATGTTTTCTCCCTGGGACAGCTGTCAATGATTCAAAGCGGCGGGGATCACCCTTTGTCTCAGATAATGGATACAGCACGCAGATTAGGCATTCATAGTTCCCCTGCTACAAAGCTAAGTAGGCTGTACACACCGGAAAATCAACAGTTATTTGTGACCTAATTTAAAAAACAGAGCCCTGGTGGCACAGTGGTTAAGAGTTATGGCTGCTAACCAAAAAGTCAGCAGTTCAAATCCACCAGCTGCTCCTTGGAAACTCTATGGGGCAGTTCTACTCTGTCTTATAGTGTTGCTATGAGTCGGAATCGACTCAATGGCAATGGTTTTAATTTAAAAAACTGAACAATGCAGAGGGCCAGTAAAAAAATTAAGGAAATTTACCATAAGTATTTTGCCTAGAGTTTCTTCTAGGCAGAGAGGTCAGAGGTCCCAGCATGAGTAAGTGTCCTCTTTGTCTACAGTCAAGTCCATCCTAGCCCAGCCTGCTCTAATGCCTTTGATCTGCCTGCTTCAGTTTGGGGGTGGGAATCTCCTTACTTTCTCTCCCAGTTTATATTAGCAAAAATTCACTGAGTTTCTCCATAGCATTTTATATTTCTGAACATAACATCACTGAATAATCTCCTTAAAGTTGTGAGAAGAAAGGCAGACTACATATTAGCACAAAATTGAGTTTGATCAATGAGATGCTGATTCTCATTTTGAGTGGGGAAATTGATTTCTGTGGAGCTTGTGCTGTCTTGGCTGAGCCAACCTCATAAGAATGGACACCAACATGCACACGGGGTGTCTAGCACACCCTGTCCTCGATCCTGCCCAGTAGCTTAAGCTATGCAGGCAAAGCTGTTTTGCGCAAGTCCTAAACCCAAAGGAAGATTCCTGGCAGAACAAGGACCTATCAGCTGTGTTTAAAAAATGAGTACCCTTGATAGGAAAAAATATTTCCCCTTCCAAATGATGGATAACATGAAAATGAGTACAGAGATCAAAAGAGAGCTAAGTCATCAAGTGTGACAATGAGGAATGTTTACATGGCATGCAGAGAGGAGAAAAATTTGGTGCCATGGCCTATCACAGTCACTTTTGCTGCAGTCTGACATCTCAGCGTGACTGGTTTATCAAATGAAAATAATAGTGCTGCTCTCCAAAAAGCTGCAGAGATGAACCGCTTTTCCATTACAGTTGATATAAGCAATGACGAGCTCTGTGCAAATCTTTGTGGGTAACCAGCTTCCCCGATGTGCTGCCTGTTGGCCACAGCCTGCTCAGCGGCCTGGCTCATAAGTCTTCAGACGATGGATGGGACTGGGAGACCAGGCACAGTGGATCAGTGGCAAGTAGCAACAGTCTGAGACTGAGAGCCATGAGTTCTAACTTCTAACACTAGTCCAACTGGGTGCCAGTCTAGTGCCATCCACACCAACCCAGGCCGCAGAACTCTAAGGAACACCTTTGAATAGCCACAGTGATATCCTACACCAATGCCAAGACTTCAGGGAAATAATTACATACGCAAACTCAACAGGAATCTATAGACATTAGCGCACATCAAAACGGTGGCTCAAGAATCAGAACAAATGATGAATGGATAAACAAAATGTGGTATATCCATACAATGTAATATTATTGAACTATGAAGAGAAATGAAGTTCGTATACATGTACAACATCGTTGAACCTTGAAAACAGTGAAATACACACCACCCACACCCGTTGCCGATGAGTTGATTCCAATTCATAGCGCCCCTATAGGATAGAGTAGAACTGTCCCATAGGATTCCCAAAGTTATAATTGTTCCAGAAGCAGACTGCTACATCTTTCTCCCGTGGAGTAGCTGGTGGGTTTGAACCACCGACTTTTCTGTTAGCAGCCAAGTGCTTAACCACTGTGCCACCAGGGCTCCTGTGAGTCAAATAAGTCAAACACAAAAAGACAAATATTGTATGATCCTGCTTATATGAAATATTTTAAATAGGCAAATGCACTGAGATAAAAATTTGTTGGTGGTTACCAGGGGCCGGGGGGAGGAGGAAATGGGAGTTATTACTTAAGGGATACTGAGTTTCTGTTAAGGGTGATTGAAAAACATTAGAAGAGGATAGTGGTGATGGTACACAATGTGGTAAATGGAATAAATGTCACTGAACTGTATACTTAAACATGGTTAAAATGGCACACTTTTAAAAATATCTATTTTATCACAATAAAATAAAAAAGAATCAGAGAAGATGTAAAGGAAAAACAAGCAGAGGCCAGATAAAAGACCATTTTTTGCCCAACTCAGAGAAGAGTTCTCTAGTCTATAGCAGATACAGTCCTTTGCAGGAAGGGGACTGGCCTAGCGTTCATTTCTTTAAGCCTTTTCACTGTCAAGCTGGGCAACACAGGACCTCTGATAAGAATTTTACTTGAGGATTTAGGGAAGCAGGATAAATAACACAGGGGTATCTGCTTACCCAGGAACACCCCCTAAATTGTGTGTGTGACTTTATCTGGGGAGTGGGTCCACAGATTTCATTCAGTTCTCAAAAGGGCCTGTAACCCTGCCCCCCACCAAAAAAAAAAAAAAAAAACCCAAAAACAAAGAAAGAATGAACTATTGCAGAAGGTGGTCAATGTGCTTTGGAAGTGAAAGCAAAATATAAAGGTAATATCTTAGTTTTACAGCTCAGATGAATCTGGCCTTTACCTATTTCTGTAGGTGGGAGCCCTACAGGCCAAGTACATTATAATGGATAAAATTCTCCTGTGATAATGGCAAGAATCTACGGGAGCTGTCCTCTAAATCCACCCTAAACTACAAAAGCTGCCCAGCTGAACGTGTGCTGTAGAAAGACTGTTTGCTTCCCAGATAATGAGACAAAGTCAGTTCAGAGGGGATGTTTCCAGCTTTCCCTGAGGAGAGCTGGATGCCACATACTGTTAGCCTTTCTCTGATCACAACCCCCTAGGGTTTCATTGTGTGTAGGGGCTCTGCCTGCCAGAAAACATCTCCTTCCTTGGGGATGATACGGAGGGGAAATTCATTTCCTATCAATTAGATAAACTAGTTGGCCTAACCTCATTTTAAAAATATGCTCCATAATAAGCATTTGAAAATGTAATTGTTAAAAGATATTATGATTTAAAAACAACCTTATAGTGGATTTAAGCAAAAAAAACAATCAAACAAAAAACCATAACAACAGAAAACAAAATTGATCATCCGCCAACAACTGAAAGTTGCCCATTGCCTATGACTGTATTTCCGCTATATGGATAGGGACTTGAGGAATCCAAAGGCTAAGTTTCTATTCTCATTACATTTTTTTCTTATTATGAGTTCTGTCAGAGACATCCTAATATGTCCATAGCAGTCTGTATTCCAAACCAAGATGGCAAAGCAATACTTACAAGATGTAGGCAATCACCCCGATGGACCAGCAGTCAACAGCTTTGCTGTAAGGTTTCTGGGCGAGGACCTCAGGAGCTGTGAAATGATAAAGGGAAGACACAAACTTGACAGTTTAAATGCCTATGACACAAGATAACTTTTAGCTTCTTCTTTTTTTCCGTGTGCTACTAGAACAGAACATTCTGTGAGTCTAAAACTTGAGAGATAAGATCCGCTTTATTTGTCAGCTTTTTTAACTAGAAAAAAATGAGGACAGTGTGTGTGTGACTGGAAATTATCGATCAGTCAATCAACAAATACTTAATAGGTGTCTATTATACGTGGGCGCTGTGCCCACAGCTCATACCAGACTGAGGCAGAGAAAGATAATATTCAGCTTAGGGTCTGGGGTATGTGGCTTTCTCTCAATTCAACTCAAAGAATCATTTCCAGCCTGTGTGTAAGGCCTTGTTAGATGCTGAGGAGTGCTGGGTCCTAGGTGCTGTGGTGTGCTGGGTGCTAGATGCTGTGGGATACTAGTTGTTCCTCAGTCTGCCTTCATGAAGCTTACAATCCAGTAGAGGTTGGAGCTAAAATTTGGTCTTTGGGAATTTTGCATTAGGCCCACTCTTAGTTCATTCTCTAAGGTTTGGGGTAAGTTATTTGTCAGAATTGTCATTTCATTTTCTTCTCTGTGGAACAGGAAAGGTGTTATTTAGTCTCATTTTCTTTTTTCTAAACCATTATTCTTCAGGTCATCCATCCTGGGGGAGGGGAGATTGGGCTTATTTTGTACTATTCTCGCTCTCTCTTTTCCTGGCCTTGTGGCTACAGCCCCCCATATTTGTGCAAAGAGTAAATAAGTACAAGAAAACACATTAAATCTCATTCAGGTATCTTTAAAATAGACTTTCCAGAGAAATTAAAAAGGTAGAGGAAATACCCTTTTAAAAAATAGCTGTAGCTTATATGCTGTATTGTGTATTCTAAGAGCTTTGGGTGCATTTACTCACTTACCCCAATGATCCTGGGGTTGGGGAGAAGTGTTATTATTATCCTCATCATCATCCCTAAGTTACAAGTGAGGAAATGAAGGTAACTGAGAGGTCAAGTAACTTGCCCAAGTTTATCCAGCTGGAAAGCGGCAGGGCTAGGCTTTGGGCCTGGTAGGCTGCCTCTACACCAGCTTCCTCTCAAAAGGGACCTAACTCATATTAAGAGCCTGCCATGAACTGGGTCTTCTGACAGTTGTTCATAAACATTTTCTAATGTGATCCTGACAATTAGAAACTTCGGCGATTGTCATTATCTACACCTTATATCAGTTGCCATTGAGCCGATTTCCACTCATGGGGACCACGTGTGTGTCAGCGTAGAACTGTACTCCATAGGGTTTTCAATGGCTGATTTTTTTGAAGTAGACTGCCAGGCCTTTCTTCCAAGGTGTCTCTGGGTGGACTCAAACCTCCAACTCTGGTTAGCAACTAAGCATGTTAACTGTTGCACCACCCAGGGACTCCATCTGCACCTTACAGATAAGGAAAATGAGCCTCAGAGTTAAGTGAGTGAGTTGTCCAGTGTCACACACGTAGATATGGAAGAGTCGGGATTTGAGCCCAGGCCGATCTGTCCTTGTCCCTGCTTCTTCCACTAGAATATACTGTTTGTCAAGGTGAGCATTTCTTCAGTTTATAAGAAAAGTTCCTTTGCAGAAAAAGTACCAGAGAAATCCTATCCTTCATTCTGTTGAAGATAAATATCTTCCTGAGCAAGAATAGGAAAGGTATAAACTATTGTTGATTGTCGCTGGTTATGATAGTGAGAGATACAACTCACAGATAATCCTCAAATCTCCTTTCAGGTTTCAGTCTCCAATTCCCCTAAACTTCTTATCAGACTTTTTTTTTTTTTTAACAAGAGCAAAATAAATGTGTACATCGTTCCTTTGCTGTGTTCACCCTCAATGCAGGTTGCAAAAGGAGAAACAACCGTAAAGCTAGGGACCTCACAAAGTGGAGAAGGAGCCCTTGGATAACTGTGAGCTGGCTGCACTGATACTTCCTTTCCCCATAACTGCTAAGAGCATTATTTCTGAGGCTCTTCTATTACGGCAACTGACAAAAGGGAGTCATTTACCACAGTAAATGTCTTCCTGATTTAAGAGGTATGTGCTCCCCGAGCCAACGTTCCCGCCTGAGCGGCCACACAGACAAAGATGGTATGAGGTGACTGCATTAGCAAGGAGCATATTTCCAAGTCTCAAGGGCCATCCCTGTGGCCTGATGGAAAGTCAGAAAGAGGCAGAGAAAGTTCATAGAACAATGCCTGACCCAGTCTTCCCTCCCAGCCCAGCTGACGGCAGCATGTCATGAGCACAAAGCCAAGCTGCTGAGGTAAAGGGCCTTGGTTCCTTGTCAAAGAGTGCTGTGGCACTCCTCAGACGGCTAGCCCAACCTGATCCAGCCACACCACACAACCAGCTGTCAAATGGCACAGAGGCACTGGGAGCTCAGGGCAAGATCACAGCATGAACTCATGTCACCCAGCAGGTGCCAAATGAGACAGACCTACGGGGAAGGAGCATAGAGAAGGAAGCTTCGGGCACCTCCTATAAGCTGCTTCCATAGTTTATGAACAAAGACTGGGCCGATCCCCTGAGCCACAGTCTTTGTTATTGTTGTTGTTAGCTGACATTGAGTCGGCTCTGACTCATGGTGACCCCACGTACAACAGAACAAAATGTCGCCCAGTCCTGCACCATCTTCACGATCACTGTTGCAGTCACTGTGTATTTTTGAGTGCCTTCTAACCTAGGAGGCTCCGCTTCTAGCACTTATCGGATAATGCTCTGTTGTGATCCATAGGGTTTTCACTGGCTAATTTTGAGAACTAGATCACCAGGCCTTTCTTTCCAGTCTCTTAGTCTGGAAGCTCCACTGAAACCTGTCCACAATGGGTGACTCTGGTGGTATTTGAAATAATGGTGGCATAGCTTCCAGCATCATTGCAACATGCAAGTCACCACAGTATGACATACTGACAGATGGGTGGTGGCGGAAAAAAAAAAAAAAAGCCATTATCTTTACATTGGGAATAAGAGACCACAACACTCGAAAGCTCGTTATTATTCTGAGGAAGAATTAATAATAATAACTCTTGAGCTCTCCATCCTCACAGTCCTAGCACTGTGGACCATGGGAAGAAGGATTCTTTACAAGAACAACATCTTCATCCTCCTCCCATCTTCATCATCTGATGACAGAGAAACGTACTGGCCACCATCCATTGTTTAGAGAACGAGAAAATAAAGAATACAGTTTCTCTCTAGAAATTGCGCACCCACAGACACTTGTACATCACACATTTCACCTTTAATCTGGTGAATTTGCCATCCTCTTGAGGAATTGCACAAGGCACTGCATAGACTTGAAAAGTAAGTGGTTGATTTTTTTTATGCAATGTGAAACTTGGATGATACTTGAGACGTTTAAATTCTTGAAACCACAGACTACATTTATATAATTTTTAAAATGAGATTTTGTTCAAATGATAAAGTTGATAACAACAAGTGTATAGTTTAAAAAAAAAAAAAGGTTCCTGGTCTGGATCTAGTAACATGGATATTAAGGGTAAAATTCTAAATTATTAACAAGTCAGTAACAGCGGGGCTGGATTACCCAATAAGCAAGGTATGCACGGGCCTGACTGTGTCTTCCCACCAATCCGCAGTGCACAATTTCACCTGTTCCCCATCACATCAAAGATGTGGTGAAACCCATGAGAAATTGCTCTCCACAGATTAGCAAGTGAGTACAATGAAGCCCATGTGTACCTTGCACAATGCAAGCTGGTACATACTGGGTTTACTGGTTAATCTGCCCCTGAGGTAGGAATATTGCAGGTGGACAATTACATACTTGTACTAAACATTTCTTGTTTTTTTTTGGGTTGTTTTTATCTGAGTAATAACAACAACAACAACACAAATATTTTGTAACCGAATGGAGGCAGTTGAACTGTTTGCTTTCCAGTGAGGTTCTAAATTACACTTGGAATTAATTCAAAAGGCTGTGACCTTTTGAATGCACATTGACAGGTCTGTCTTCCAAGGCGCCTCTAGGTGGGTTCGAACTGCCAACCTTTTGGCTAATAGTCAAGCATTTGGAAACAAATGCAGAAAGTGAAGGTAGAAGTATAATGGAACAATTGAAAAAAAAAAAAAAAGCAACATGATTTTGAAATAATAGTTTCACCAACTTAAAATATCCTTTATAATTTATAATGGCACATGCACTAATAGCCTACATTCTAATTTCACTTTTGATGTGATTCTTTAGGACATAGTTTGAAAAAGTACCTCCATCACTGTCAAATAGCTACATTTTATGTCACAGTAATTCCTGAAAAAAAAAAAAAATTCGCAGGCAATATTCAAAACCCTCCTGACAATTTGGTGTGGGGATGAAATCATGATGAACCCAGGAGATCAGCTGGGATATTTGTTCTCTTGATCTCCTCCTTTTGTGTTCTACAGTTGGCCCCATTTCAACAACCTGTTGAATTCACCTGGCCCTGTATAACCAACACCCTCCCATTTTCTCCATTCCTTTCAACTGTGGCACGGTATGCAGGGCTGGGAGAGTCCACTTCTCACTCTAATCTTTTTAGAGGCCGCTAGGCATACAGAGAGCCCTGGTGGTACAGTGGTTAGGAGCTTGGCTCCTAACCCAAAGGTTGGCAGTTCAAATCCACCAGCTACTCCTTGGAAACCCTATGGGGCAGTTCCACCCTGTCCTATAGAATTGCCAGCAACGGGTTTGGTTTTTGGGTTTTATTCGCACGTGGGGTCGCCATCAGTTGGAACAGAACAGACTTGATGGCAACTAACAACAACAACAACATTGACATCAAAGGAGCCCCTGGGTGGCGCGAACAGTTAAGCACTCAACTATTAACCAAAAGGTTGGCAGTTTGAACCCACCTAGAGGCACCTTGGAAGACAGGCCTGGTGATGAGTAGTCAAAAGGTCGCAGCCTTGTAAACCCTATGGAGAAGTTCTGCTCTGCATATGTGGGGTTGCCATGAGTTGGAACTGA